GGCGGTTCTCCTAAACCCAGGAAGATGAGAACCCCTAACACACAGAAATTAAAGACAGAGACAAAGCAGATGAAGCGTTACAGAAAGACTCAAAAGCATTATTCTCAAACATGCACGGACGGTGCAACTTGAGAGTGAAGCCAAAGTTGAAGGATCAACAAGGTCGGGTGCAGAAGCAGCGGCGTCGGAAGCCACAGCAGTGGCATCCGGGGAATCCCTCGGTCCGGCAAACGTTGGCGCAGTTAGATTTGCTGATACAGGCTCCCCAGAAGCGGTGGCTCTGAGACTCGCCCGTCCTCGCTTCTGCCATTATCGGCCCCGTCCTCGCTTCTGCCATCATCGGCCCCGCCTCGGACCATCACAAAGTGATAACAGATCACAGAGGAAAAAGATGTGAAGGAAGTGGAATCTGTGCGTTCCGATTTAACAAAAGCAGAACAAGAGGAACACTGTAGAACCAAAATATAAGGGCCAGATGAAGAAAGATTGGAGAGATACGAAGCAGTGGCGACAAGAAGGAGAAGGAGGACGAAAATGGTGGAAGCTAGAGACAGAGACCTAGCCATGGCTGAGAATTATGAGCGAGAGAGAGAGAGAGAGAGAGAGAGAGAGAGTGAATCGAAGGTGAAGATTGAAGCGGGAGGCAAGGAAGCTGGAGGGGGGGGGGGGGGGTTTAAATAGCCAAAAGTGTGCGGCAGGTGAGATGGGAATTGGGAAGGGCTACAGCATGGTGCCCGAATTCCAACTGCCAAGTTACTTCAACTGTTGAACCCGCCTTTTCACACTTTCTTCGGTGGGCACCCAGTCTAATTTTCGATTCATTTAATTCATTTAATATTTAGAAAGTAAACTTTTTACTCGTACTTAAAATTTATATAAGTTTTTAGTTCAGTCTTCTAATCATAAAATCGTTAATCTTAAATGATAATTTTTTATTATTGTTTTAAAAATTAAATTTAATATGTTATCATTTAAGAATATTTTATTAACATTCAAAATTTCAATACTATTATTTTTATTATTTTTAATTTCACTCACACATCAACACATTTAGATGCTTCTAAAGTCTTAGCAAGCCATCGTGTACGCCTGGAATTTTTATTTTAAAAAATATCATTATTTATAATTCACAGTATTATAATTTAAAAATGTTAGTTTAGATGTGAAAATATATTAGCCTTTTGAAATTTTAATAGCATATTTTTAATTTTAAATTAAAGACGTCTAACTATGCACACGACTATGTTATTCAGCTGTGAACTGTTTTTAGCATAAATTTAGAATCCAAAGCATTTTGATAAAATGTTCTTAACATTAATTATGGGGGGAAATAGTGTTTTACAGTAACTTTTAAAGGCGAAAAGAAGGAAATGGAAAAAGGGGGGAGTCAAACGGTGGGGCCTCATTGGGCGCAAATAAAAGAGATAAGGAAACAAGTAGACATGCTGACTTCTTCGCACGAAAGGCCCAAAACTTGATGGAAGAATATTTGAATGGGTGGGGCCAAGTTAGTGCGGGCTCCTGCCTTAAAGGCTTAAACAACGTGCCCCCTCCTTGTTCTTCCCATTTTATTTGTCCCAACTTTTTTTTTTAAATCTTTAACTACGTATTTAAATGTTAAATACTTATAAACACGTAAATGAGATAAAAATTTTTGAATGAATTTTTTCCACATATCTATTTTGTATTTTATAAATTATAACTAAAATACTATCTCTGGTCTTAAATGTAAAAGCTAATTGATTAATTTGAGTAAATTAAAAAAATAAGTTAAGTTAGTTATCTATAATAAATAAGTGTTGTCTTCCTTAAAATATCTTTACTAATCAAGTGTATTGGCTATAACTACTATTATTAGAATGATTATCTTGAAAAAAAAGACATACATATAAGAGACAAAATAGATTGAGATATTATATTCATGATCAAAATAAAAATCAAACTAGATCTTATACTAAGGATCGAATGTAGTATTACCTATAAATGATTCCAAACAAACTCTTGAATCTCTATAATTGTTCAATTGGGAGTAACTCTTGTGTTCTGACAGTGTCTAAGTTAATGCGTCGTGTTTAAACGGTTAAAAGGCTTTTTTACTAAGACCAACACGCGTGTTCAATCCACTGCTTATATAAACTTAGTTTGTGTGCCTATCTCCTGTGCACTGGGCGTTAAATTTTAACGCGTATAGAATTTAAGATAAAAATTTTATTTTAATTGTTATCTTAAAAAATGGTTTTTGAAATTTATTAGTTTAATATTTTAACTCCAAATTATTAAAACTATATTTTCACGGTGGAAGTCCCGCTGCGACTGAGATTGTTTATGTGTATATGTATATAGATTAAATATTGAATTATACATGATTTTTCTTAAATTTTGGATCATGTATAGATAATTTTCTTAACATTTAAAAATTTACAATAAAAATACAATTAAATTTTAAAGATTAAAGAAATTTATTTTACACGATTTAAAATTTAGGAGAATTTTGTATGATGACACACAGTAGCAAACTATATGCTTCTTGCAGTAACCACTTATTGATTTCTATGCCCCGGTTCATTTATATTTTATACCGAATCTCACGCCAATCTCTGATTTTTACAACCTCGCGAGAGTATATTGATATTGATTACTATTTTTTTAATTAATTATTCATGCATTCTCACCTAACCTTTGCTCCACAAAATTAAAGCCAGCCACGTTAGTCCCAAGCCCAACCCATTATGATGCTGTTTTCAATGGATACTTCATTGATGGCGATTGATTCAGTCTCTTTCAACAAATACGCTTTTTAAAGATTAAACTCGTATTTTTTTTTAATTAGAAAACTCAGATTACTCACCATCTCAGCTAAGTGTTTGTTGGTTGATTTTTTGTTTTTTTGACCAGCGTTTGTTGGTTGATTTTTAATACAACTATTTAATATTGATTTTAAACTAAACGAAAGTGCCCTAATCACGAAAGGGCCCACTTGACGTCTGAACGCGCGCGTGGGTCTTCCTTTTCGTGATCCATCATTCATCTTTGCCACTGCTCACCTCCCACTTCTCACCTCTCTTGATTTCATAATCTTTGTCCCCATCAATTATTTACTTTTCAATTTCCATTCCTTATTTTCTGTTTTTCTTTTCCACTTGGATTTTCTCTTTCACAAAGTGCTCGTCGCCTTTGTTTTTTCTCATTCTTTGGTTCTATTAGTCACAGTGAAAATGTTCGTTGCCGATGCCTCTCACAAAAGAAAAGGAACATTGAAAGATGACTGTAATTTCGCTCATGCCAAACTTTTTGCATTTTGTTTCTTCTCTCTTCTTTGTTTTCCATTTATATATTAAATTATTTTGACGCTGGCCTGAACCCCCTATGGCAGAGCCTGATTACATTTAACATGCATGATGTCACCATCTAGTAAGGGAAAAAGAAGGGATAGAGCTTGTGCGTTTGACAATGCGAGACTGGGAAGAATAATGATATCTGCTGTTAGTTATAAAAACTAGTTGACTAATTTAAGGAGATTAAGAAAGTAAGTTGAATTATTTATTTGTCCTAAATAGGTATTGTCTTTCTTAAAATATCCTTGCTAATCAAGTGTATTAATTATAATTATCATTGTTAAAATGGTTACTTTGAGAAAAATGTATAAATATGAGAGACAAAATAGATTAGGGTCTTATATTTAAGATCAAAATAAAAATCAAACAAGATCTTATATTAAGGATGAGAAGTTGTATTTTATTGCCACTCGAGTTCGCGTTATCGGAAAGTATATGTTATGCAATATGCAATATATATTAATATATGCAACGTTGGGTCGAAAAGGAATGTATAGAGATGACGGGAAAATGCGGTTTATTATTCGTTTGAATTTTTGTCCATCAGCATGTTGTTTTTAAATTCTCTGTCCTTTTGTTTTTATGAAACATCCTTTTCTAAAATTACTTTCATCGTGCCCTCCTTCATCACAGGCTTGGCTCTTAAAGGTGCAATCATATGATCAAACTATAATACTTTACCTCAAATTTTGCTGTCTTCCTAGTTCTTAGTTCTCTTTATCCCCCTTCTTCCTCAATCAAATTTGGTTTCTTTAAAAGCAGGCTATGCCGGGAAAATTCCGATCGGTTGATTTTGCATAATGCTAAACTTAATTGGAAAAAAAATGTTTCAGAAGATCCAGAAATCTAGTTTAGAGAAAGACTAAGTAATCTAAAACTCAAAATCTATCCTTTGCTTGCCCCAAAAAAAAAAAAAAGGGATTCTATTTTGAGACAAGCAGAAGTTTGGTGGCTGGCAGCAGATTTTGGATTATTCGGGAAACGCTTTCACAGAACTTCCCCTAAGCTTCTCTCTAGCCTTCTCTAGCAGTACCTCTTCAGACTTCCCCCCTAGCGTTTATCCTCCAATTATAGCGAAAACCCATGAGTTGCTTAATTTAAGTCTTTGTTATGAGTTAACTACTCCTATCTTCATCTCATGGATATAGATATTTAGCCGTATTTTTCCAGACAAATGGCTAACGGACTTCATTATGGCTTACCTAGAGATTCTTTTGCCGTTTAATTTATCCTCCCTCGAATGTGAGAAAATTTCCACTTTTAACACTTTGGTAGAGTTATTAACTCCTCTTTTATTATCGTGATCACATGGTTGCATTATATTGGAAACATTAATCATTCTAACTGGAGAAGATAGCTTAAATTCTTTATTGAAAGTCTGCAATTTGTCAGCCCTGTTCTTTAGTAACTCTTTTGACTTTTAGATGGGTAGTTTTATTTGTTCGAGTCTCAGTCCAGTGTATCAAGTGTTTTGATTTCATTTTGAGTCTATTTAGACCGTTAAATGGGCTCTAATGTAAATTATGAGCAGTATGTACTTGAATGGTTTTGGACTCACTCCTGGCATTAAATGCTGAAATTTTGCCGATACGGGGCAATGCGGATTGCATTTGTCCGTATTTCACATCCTCATTAAAATATGATATTTGAAGTTAATATATTACTATGACAGTTCAGAAGTTATCAGAAGAGAATGGCAGGTGTTGCCGGTGAGTAAAGAGAAGCGTAGAAGTGGAATAAAAAGTATGGTCTGGAAGCAGTTTTATCAACAAAAGTGTGTCTCATAGATAGATAAGATCTAGTAGAGTGTAGGACTATGGAATATTGTTTTCTGGATGTCCTTGGCCACATCTGAAATCTGAACTCATATGCTTGTTTTGTCTTCTGCTTAAAATTCGGCAAAAATTATTAGTCTTTAGCCGTCACCAAATTTTAACAATTTTTGTAGGATTCTTCAAGTCTCTGCAGAAGAATTGCAACATGGCTTTGACTCTGAGCTCCCAGTTGGTGTCAAAGAACTTCTGACCTATGGTAGAAATCTCTTAGAGTATTGCTCCTATAAAGCACTCGAAAAAACTAGTCGAAGTCAAGATTATATAAGTGACAAGGAATTTCGTCGTTTGACCTATGACATGACGCTTGCCTGGGAGGCACCCAACGTTGAATGTGATCCGCCACAACATGTGAGACAGTTCATTCTTTCTTTGTCTTAGCATCTGTAAGATGCAATAGAACTCTATTTTCCTCTAATACATGATATACTTCTTACATATTGGGTTCTGACCATGCTGCGGCCTCCTCAACTGCAGGACACTACTTCTTGCTTTAAGTCCGAAATGGTGGATGAAGATGAGGGGTCCTTATTTTATTCAAGTTCCACAAATATGGCACTTCAGGTGCTCTTTGCCACTGTCACCCCAGTCTAATCAAGTTTCACCAATGATTAATGGGCTATGCTCATTTTCCTCCTCTTAGTCAGGTTGATGCTGACAAGACAGTTGGTCCGGAAGCCTTTGCCCGCATAACTCCTGCTTGTGTTCTTGTCGCTGATATAATGTCTGTCCACAATCTTTTTGATGCACTCACGAGTTCTTCAGGACACCGCCTTCATTTTCTTGTTTATGACAAATACTTGAGCAGCATTGATAAGTACGATCTTTTTTCTCCAGCGCAGTTATATTTTTTTGAAGATTGAACTCTAAATAATTTGCGTTTTTTTAATCAGTCTTTTTTTAGCAACAATAAACTCTTAATTGAAGTTTAATGATGAATGGATTGCATAATGTTCCTTTCGCTACCTTTTTTCTGTTTTGGGAAAAGCTGAAGACCCTACTGTGTATATAAGCACCTTGTAACTTCAATAAGATAGGATAGTAAATTGTCCAACTTGCCATTTCTGCTATTGTTTTGCTACCCATCCAACTTATAACCCAGCTTCATTAGATAGACTGAATTACTGCTACATGCACGCCTATTGATTTCAACTCTTCACTAATCCTTGTAGCCATCATACCTCATATCAAAACCTGATCTGATACCAAAGTTGTTGGAACCCAATGATAATTCTGGCAAATTTTGTGTCACAAGGCTGGTTTACACCCTCTGAACAGCAGTTGTGGAGGAATATAGCCAAGAGAATTACAAAATGATGCAAGACACAGCTAAACGAAAGGAAAAGATTTCAAAGATGCCCACCTCAAGCTTTTGAGAGTCTAGGACTCTTAAACAAGTCCATCACTTGACCCCTTCTCTCTTCGCCCTCTCCCTATATGCTCTGTTAGTTATCCCCCTTTGTCTTACCCTACCTCCCAAGCTTGAGCACACTGCACACCTTCCTCGGACCTATTTGGGCCCTTAAATCTGATGCTTTTTGTGCAAGGTAGAGGCAACGCTTAATATGTCACTAGATTTGCTGCTACACCATGCTTCGTTGAGCAAAATTATGCCACGTGGGATGCTGAAAATGACGTTGCTCAATCTTGGTTAATGTATCATAATGTGAGGAATTCAGATGCATTGTTGGAATAGATGCTTGGTATGATAGGAATTAAGGTATTAAAGTTGTCTTAAAATTTGCAGTACACAAGATTTAAAAAAAAAAAAAAAGGAAGACAATAACAGAGAATTAAAAACAATAACCGTACTTAAATGCTTCATAAAGAATTGATCCAGATTGCACAAGATCTAGGCTTAAGCCACGGCTGCAATGGGCCGCATTTTCATAGATAGAGGTTGCAGTGTGCTGAATGCTAACACTCCCCGCTCCAGCTGGGGAGCAGATAACAATCAACCTCAGCTTGCATCCAAGCTTTTCGAACCTACTTGAGCTAGGGCCTTTGTTAAGACATCCACAACTTCAGTCTTAGTTAGGATGTGTGCAAAGTCAATAATTTCTGAATTCACCCTCTTTGATGAAGCGTTGGTTATTGCAGTGTTTTTTTAGGGGTCGTGTTAGACAATGTCATTTGCTATGTTGATGGCTGCCATACTGGAATTTGGCTAATTACTCTTCAAGAAGTCTCTTTAACCAAAAGTTTTAGTAAAAACATCATTAGCTTAATTAAAAGGATCACCTTATGCTACCTATTAGCACTTAGCAACTATGGTCAAGTAAGATCTTTTGAATAGCATAATTAGCTTAATAATTGTCGGTAAAGCAAAATGTTTGGACAATCTGGTACTTAAATTTGTTTTTATAATGCCAATGCATCCTGTGTCAATTGGTGATTGTTATTGTCTGAATTCTTTCTAACAGGAAGCTTTATGCAGAGTCATAAAGAATTCAAAACATGTGATAGACACTTCAACGGTGAATCTTCAGCTTGCTGATGGGGAGGTTGTCGTTGATGTTGATGGAACAAATCCAACTCAACCAGTTCTGCAACACATAGGGATCTCTGCGTGGCCTGGTGAGTCGTTGGAAGTCTCAAAATGGGTTGCTTATCACGCACGAAAGGAGTCTAGTTGTCATCTTTGATTAGAACATTATTTATGCAATAAGACAATCCTTCTTGATTAGCAGGTAAGGTAACATGTGAGCTTGTAATTGTCCTCTCTTTAAGAGCTTTCATCACGTCCCATTTTTCTCTTTCCCAAAAGGGCATTGAAGGGGGCCCAAACAAATAAGTTTAGGGAGCTGGGAAAAGGGGATGGAAGAGGGAAAACTGAAGAATGTTGGGGATATTTTAGTCAACAAAAATGCATTTCCAAGAAAGTGGGCCTTGTGCTCACACAAAGCTTAAAGCAAGCTGTGCTTTTTATTGCTTATAAACATGGCAGCTATATGGTAATTTCAAATGATGTGCTGCATGTCGCCTCAATTTCAAGCTCTTGATAGTTGAGCGCCTGTCTGGAGTGTGTTCTCTTCGTGCTATTATTTGTTTAGGTTGGCTTTTATTGTTTATCGTATACTGCCTATAGCCATATATATATGTATATATTCTAACTTATTTACTTTGTAGGACGATTGATCCTCACCAATTATGCTTTGTACTTCGAGCCTCTGGGACTTGGGCTGCATGAGAAAGGTGTTCGATATGATTTAGAAATGGATATGGAACAGGTCAAAAAGCCTGACTTGACCGGACCCCTTGGTGCTCGTCTTTTTGATAAAGCGGTGATGTACAAGTCAACTTCTGTGTATGTTATCTGGTGATATAGATAACTAACAAGTAGTCAATATGTGCTATCACCCCGGGCTTCCTTTTCGATTTACCTTTTATGACTTTTCCATGTGTTGACAGAGCAGAGCCTGTTTATTTCGAATTCCCCGAATTTAATGCAAACTTGCGTCGTGACTACTGGCTGGAGATTTGTCTTGAGATCTTTCGTGCTCATAAGTCTATAAGGAAATACAACCTTGAAGAGATTCAGAAATCAGAAGCACTAGCGAGGGCTATTTTGGGGATCTTCCGATATCGTGCAGTTAGAGATGCTTTTCAATATTTCTCTTCCCACTATAAAACTTTACTTGCATTTAACCTCGCTGAAACTCTTCCTGGAGGAGATGTCATCCTGGAAACTCTGTCTAGTTGCCTGACAAATTTGACTTCTGTTGCTGATAAACATGTTTCTGGTACCATAGATACTAAGATGCACCAGGCGGTATCCCTGGCATCAGTTTTGACACTTGCTCGTCTTGGTTTCGTACCACTGAAGGAGGCTGATATTTATGAAGAAGCAGCTGTTTATGGTGATGTTCGGGTCGGTGAGACAACTCAATTGGAAGTGGCAGTGAAAAAATCCCTTCTTGACACAGGAAGGGCGCAAGCTGCACAGGCAACAGTGGAGCAAGTGAAGGTTGAAGGCATTGACGCAAATGTTGCAGTAATGAAGGTTGATTTGATTTTCATTTCATAAAGTTCTATTGGCGGAAACAACAGATACTTCTGGTATCAAGAAAAGAGCAAAATAAAGACTGCCAAGATTTTTGTTGTACTCTAATTTGAACTTCAAACTCAGCACTGAAAATGCTCGCGGTGCATTAATTTGTATTTATAAGAACAAAAACTGAATTAATTCTTTCTTTTTTTCCCCTCTTAATATGCAGGCCCAGTTTGAATTCCTCGTTGGTACCTTGAAAACATAATCTCATGGATATGCTCTATGAGTTTAGTTATCCATTAACTGGTTTAGCTTCTCATGAGCTCATGATGATAAGGTGTTTTCTTGAAGATGAGAGAAAATCAAAGCAGTATATTGATTTAGATATGGATAACTCTCTCCACTTCTTGCAGGAACCGTTATTCCCCGTCATTGAAGCCGCTTGTCGTCTGTGATTTTTAGCCTCGTGGAAAGACTTCTATAGATCAGGATCATTTTTGTTACTCTCCTGTTACGTGATTTTATGGTAATTGTTTTCTTGGAATTCCAGCATATGTGATCATGATTACATAAAAGTATGTGTTTGTTGGTTGCCTTTGATAGAAATGTCAATCTGATCTACATCATAAAAAGATTTTGTCGTCGAAAATTGTGGGGGTCCAGTTTAGAAATGTATTTTTTCATTGTGGTAACATTCTGTTTTGACACGAGCACGTGCTGATTTTGAATATTTTTATAAGGTGTTTTTTCATATTGAAGGTACTCATCGTAAGTGACCTCATAAAAATGGATATATCTGAAGGTTGTTTTTAAGGTAGCCTAATAGCTGCTTAGCGTATGTCGTAGTTAATGGTGGTTTATCATTGGAAGAATAGCAGCGGCTTCTAGTATGCCAAATGAATTAAAGTATGCACCGCAAACCCCCCCCCCCCCCCGGGGGTGAAATCTTTAGAGAGAAAGCGACCAGGGTCAATAGATTGCCACAATAGATTGTCTGAATAGGCCCCAAAGGTCAAGCACCTTTTGGCGCCTGACTGAGGGCGTCGCCTCTCCCGCTATGAGAGGTGATGAGCATTTTTGGTGCGAGCAAGTGCCTTTGACAACTTTGGTTGATCTTTCATCATCATTTATTTTACTTCTTGATTTTTAATAGTAGAGTCACTACCGAAAAGTGTATCTGTATTTTGAACTGTTGTACCTTAGCATGGTTACCCAATCTTCTGGAAGTCACTACCTGAAACTCCTCTATGGTTTCTATAGTTAATGGTAAATTGAATAACTTGCAGTGATTTTAACTTCATTCAAAATGTTCATTGGCCCCATGATGAAACAGTGATGACTTTAAATAATGATATTCTTGGGTTAAACTTGCCTTCCATCGTACAGGGGGTGGATCAGGTACATATTGCCGTCGATTTTAGTGTTCTTTGCAAGTCTGATGCTCTGGCGTAGGCATTTCAACAGTGGAAGACAAGGAGGAGCTTTTACAGTAACTTCTCCCCCAAATCGAAATGCAGTAGAACAACTATTACAATTACAGGAAGCCATCGCCCAAGTTGAATCACTTATTCAAGCCGGAAATATTACTCTCCTGAAAATAAGAGCTCTTCTACTCGCTTTATTACCGCAAGTGAGTATCCTAGTCATGGTCCATTTCCATAGGGCAAATATTAATATGATGGATAGACAGTGTGCATTTTAATATAGGCTTGCGCTATATCTCAATGTGCATAGCCTTTGCTTAATTTTGGCTGCATTGTGCAAATCTACTTTGAATGAAGAAGCTTTTTTCTAGTACATCTGTACATGAAGTGCGGAAATTCTTTTTTTTCCCCCCATTATATCTATGATAATCCAACTAACATGTCCTCAGCATGGAGAAAGAGGGAGAATTTGGAAATCAGACTTGAAATAATCTCGATTAGAACAGTTAACCTTTCTATCCAAGTAACCATTACACACCTAAAAGAAATACGTTAACATAACCATGATGTACCTGAATCTCTTATTTGGCCCCGAAACAAAAAATCTGAATGTCAATCTTACTGCATCATATGTGAAGAATGATTGTAAAGGAATAATTGTTCCATAATTGATGTCATAATTCTTGGACTTGCTTTTTTATTTTCTCATAAAGCCTATGGATTCAGCTCCATCATAAGATGCGTGATTAAATGATGGGAGTTATTGTAATGCACACATGTTTTCACAGGAGGAATTCCCTCTCACCATAAATTATCCGTTTGTCCTTTAGGCTACGGAGAAGGTTGCATTGTTGCTGGTTTTCATGGCTGCAGCGATAGCTTTTATTCCTCTCAGACACATAATGTTGGTGGTATTTGTAGAGTTATACACGAGGGAGATGCCTTGTAGGAAACAAAGTAGCGAGAGGTGGATCAGGCGGGTTAAAGAATGGTGGGTAAGGATACCAGCAGCTCCTGTCCAGCTTATTAAGCCTGAATGCCTGATGACAGCAAGAAAGTTAAATGATAAATGTTTTCATGTATTATATGAATTCTAGTTTTAAAATGTGCTTTTATATTCTTTTCTTTTGTTCTTAAATTTTTGAAATGTTCATTCTAGGCAGCAGCTTTACTCACATATGCCTTCTGTGCTTCCCCTTTTCCTCCTTCATGTTATAGGATATGGGGCATAAGTGTTGGGTTGACACTTGACAATTCGACTCTTTCAATTTGACTGATGTTTTACACTGCCAATAAAGGATTTACTGCATTATTCTTACCCAATGCTACCTTTGAATAATTAAGGAAGGATGGTCCATCACGTGAAAATGAGGGGGAAAAAAAAGAAAAAGAGACAAGATAATAAACTTGACTACCACTTAAAGTAACAATTTTACTATTTTAGACATTATTTTTTCATGATTCAATTTTTTTCATGTTCCTTCTATAAATGAAAGGGCCCACAGGCTTCTGGAGCAGTAGCAGCAATTACTGCTTTATCTGAGTAACAAGGACGGACATGCACGTGATATCTGCTTGGAAGAGGGACGTAGACGACGACGATAACGGAGTCGTCCAGGAGGACGTCGGACGGGAAGCCGTTGGAGGCGGCGACAGGCGGAAGCCTTGTCGAGGGAGCAGCTGGAAACGGCGTAGAGAAATTATGGCATGTGAAACCTTGGGCATGCCTAACAGGCCTGTCCTTCGAGCATCACCGAGGAAGCAATCTCAGACTCCAAAGAGGAGTTGGATGGAAATGAAGCTACAGAAAGGGGTCTTCTTGCAGCATAAAAATCTGGGGTAATGAAATCTTTGATTAAGTTTCATTCCGGATGATGCCCAGTTTCCAGTTCCAAAACGAAAGAAAAAATAGTCAAGCATATGAAAGGATGACTTGTTTAGCCAGAACGGATCACTGAGGTCTTCAACTGCCTTAGGACATGAACGCGTGGAAAGGCTCTGATTTAAAATAATGGTTAAAAATTGCTGAAGGACGGTTGCTTAAGATGCACGTGAAGGTATATCCATAGATGAATAATCCGTTAATTATGCATAAAGTAGAAGCAAAAGGAGAACGAGAATGAGCAAAGGAGTCCATTGTTATTCATATCACTTTCACAGCATCAGCCATTCTTCACCTAAGAACCTTCCAACACGCAGGAACCAAAGACTAGACAAATGATGAGCGAAACGTTACAGTTACTGAAAGGGTCAATGACATTATTTAGCAAGCACAAACACGACAGATAGTGGACCCCATCCCTAACATGGTTTGTCGCAGAAGCAACGGCGACGGAAGCCACTGCAGTGGCCGTCGGGGAAGCCCTCGGTCTGGCAAACGGAGGCGCAGTTAGATTTGCTCAGACAGGTCCCCTTGAAGCGGTGGCTCTGAGACTCGCACGTCCTTGCTTCTGCGGCCATCGGCCCCATTTCTGATCAACACATAACACAAAAACAGCAGCGTTACAGATCAAAGAGATAGCATTTTGTTTTTTAAACGTAACAAACTCTTAATCTTTTTCTGCTTGGACAAGCAAGACATACGTACAGAAATACTGGTTAGAGGAAGAAGTGGCCAAGAGATACGTACCAGTGGCGACCAAAAGGAGAAGGAGGACGAAAATGGTGGAAACAAGAGGCACAGATTTCGCCATGTCTGAGAATATGAAAGGAAGGGCCTTAGAACGCAATGCAAAGAGGCGACGTGGTGGTCTTAAATAGCGAAGTTAGGGTGGTGAAAAACAGGTGAAAACAATAACAACATCGTCGTTGTTTGGGACTTTGGGTGGGGTCTACGTCCATGTTTTGGTTTTTTATTTTTTCCCCATATATATTGCTTTTACGGTAGAGGGTTACTCTTTTATCTAGTATAAGAGGAATATAATTATCTCTACTCATTACAAGAAGAGTTTATTTCTCAAAAGTTTGAATTATCAGCGTGGATAAAAACTAAGCCATGATTTTAAAAATAAATTATGATTTTAAAAGTGACTTTACTATATAAAAATAAGTATGTGATAAAAGTTTTGTTTTGATTTGAATAAAAATACCTTTTAAAAGTGCTTTTTAGGTTTCCAAATATTAAGAGGGTATTTGGTTACACTCGAAAATAGATTTAAAAAATATTTTTTACGTAAGTTAAAATAAAACTTTTTTCATATACTTATTTTGTATATCATAAAATTACTTTTAAAATCATATTTTATTTTTTACCCAAATACTATTCAACATTCAACATTATCTGGAACATGCCTGTGAGAAAATATATGTATGTGTGTATATATATTAGGTTCTCTATATAGGGTCTCCTCCTTTCTTCCTCTCTGTTGCACGATTTATGTATTGAATAAAATATTTAAATATGACACTTTGAAATTGTATAAAAATTTTATTTCCATATCAAAATTTAAAAATAAATAAGTTTAAATCACTAAAAATTAATATAACTAAACGAATCAAAACTTGCAAATTGAGAGGAAGCGGGTAGAAGTGAAATGGAAGAAGCTGGTTTGTGACACAATAAGCTAAAGTAGTTTACTCATGTTTTTATAATCCTGTTAATAAATTATGTTTTTTCCAAGCAGATGGATATGGAAATTATCACATTATTTATAGTCTACAATAAATAATTTTTTATTATCATCAGTCCATAATAAAAGAGCTAGTTTGACTTTTAATTGGTTCTCTAATATAAGATCTTAATTTATTTTATCTCTTATATTTATCTATTTTTTAATATAACTCTTATAATAGTTGTACATATTAAAATTTTTATCAAATTGTAGTTTTAACTAGTACACTTAGTAAAAATATTTTAAAATAAATAACTAATTTAATTAACTTCTTTAATTTATATCAATTAACTAAATTTTATATTAAACATTAGAAATATTATTTTTAATTTTAATTATAAGATTGTATTTATATTTTATAAATAAATAAAGTTTTATAATCAGAAAGAGGTGGTAGTATGTATTTATATTCTATTCTGAATTCTGATTCAAATTTTGAATGATTGCTCAGCGCTTCTCAGTTCTCCCATTTCTCCAAATGTGGGCCGATTGGATCCGTAGAATTTTGTCTTCGTGCCCGTGCGATCAGATCCTGCCCGACGCATTTAACCGCGCTCGGCCCCACGTTGCCGACAAGTAAAATCTTGAGGAGAAATGGAGTTTTTTTTTTAAAAAAAAAAAGATATATAAATTCAACAAATTTTTTTAATATAATCAAATTAATTAACTAATTTTTATACCAATTACAATACTAATTACAAGGAGTAGATCTCTTCTAGCAAACACGATTAATTCTATAAGTGGATCTGATCATGATATCTCTTGAACCGGCACGCGCGCCCCAGAGCAAAGATGTTCGTATTCTGAAACGACGTCGTTTCTGAATACGCTCCGCTCCTTGACCGACCCCACTGTTCCTGCTGGCGCTTCCTGCTCTTTGCAGCTGTATTATTGTCCTTTTCACAGTCAGAAATTATGATGTTGTTTTGGATCAGACTTTTACAGTACTGTGAAATGTGAATATGGATTTGCGAGAAGAGAAATAGATGCTCTGCGAGGATCAAATTGGGGAAAAAGTGGTATCATGACTTGTCATGTTGAGTTTTTTGTTTTTTCAATTTTCTCAATGATTTATGATGCTTTAATGATTACTGGGAGAAAAAAAGGAAAAGGGACCGGATGACACGTGAACGGTAGGGTTACAAAGATTTCGCTTTCACAGAAGATATCGTTGGTCATCCACCGACGGCGAATGGACAATAGCGCAATATTTTGTGGTCATGAGTCATGATTTCTGGTGATGACAGTAACAGGGTAACATTACCATGAGATCCACAATAAAATATAATTATAAAAAAAATTCTAATGATACTGAGTTATTACGAGATTTTTTTAGTAAATTTTTTCCTTTCTTTCTAAGGACACGTAGCCCACGTTTGGACCGGTTATGTTCTTAAGCCGTTTTGAGCCGGAAACTGAAGTTAGACGAAAAGCGAAGTAATAATAGGAATTAATATAATTATATGATTTACTAAATGACACATAGTAATTGAATATTGTGTAGATAATAAAAGAAGTAGATCCTCAAAGAGGGAAATAAGTTCTCTCAACGTAATACAGCAAACAGCCCATTGAACTAACGACAAGAAAAAAGTGGCTAGACAATTACGATTTAAGACATGTTAAGGACCTGCTTTATCTTTTTATTTTGTTAGCCACACAAAATTTAACTAGGAATCATATGATAAATTCACGTTACCACTTTAACCCGTTTGTGGCAGAAAATTTTAGCACCAAGATGACTAAATTATAAGGAGTCAAACCAAAATATTCCCCTAAAACTAAAATAAACTTAAATTTAAACCAAAAATTATACTACCTCCTGTCCTGTTCTTAATATAAGATCCTGTTTGACTTTTATTTTGATTCTAAATATAAAACACCAATCCACTTTGTCTTTTATATTTATATATACATTTTCTAAATAGCCCTTCTAACAATAATAGCTTTAATTAACACATTTGATTAGCAAGGATATTTAAAGAAAGACAACACCTATTTAGAACAAATAATTAATTTAACTTACTTTCTTAATCTCCCCAAATTAATTAACTGGCTTTTATAATTAGGACCGGAGTTAGTATTAACGTTGATAGTAATATTATTACCAGTAATGGTAACTTCGCAAAAGGTAGGAAAGCAAATCAATGAAAGAGTCGGTTTATTGCTTGATCACTTTCACACCACGAGCCATTCTTTCTTCACCTAAACCCAGGAAAATGAGAACCTCTAACACACAGAAATTAAAGACACAGACAAAGCAAATGAAGCATCTCAGAAAGACTCAAAAGCATTATTCTCAAACATGCACGAACGGCGCAACTTGAGAGTGAAATTAAAGTTGACGGATCAACAAGGTCGGGTGCAGAAGCAGCGTCGTCGGAAGCCGCGGCAGTGGCCGCCGGGGAATCCCTCAGTCCGACAAACGTTGGCGCAGTTAGATTTGCTGATACAGGCTCCCCTGAAGCGGTGGCTCTGAGACTCGCACGTCCTCGCTTCTGCCATCATCGGCCCCATCTCTGATCATCACAACACAACAACGGAATCATCTATCAGCAGTGATAACAGATCACGGAGGAAAAAGATTTGAAGAAAGTGGAATCTGTGCGTTTCCATTTAACAAAAGCAGAACATGCAGAACACGGTAGAACCAAAATATAAGGGTCAGATGAAGAAAGAGTGGAGAGACACGAACCAGTGGCGACGAGAAGGAGAAGGAGGACGATCATGGTGGAAGCTAGAGGCTGAGACCTAGCCATGCCTGAGAAATATGAGAGAGAGAGAGAGAGAGAGAGAGGGTATATGAATCAAAGATGAAGATTGAAGAAGCGGGCAAGGCAGAGTGCTGTTTAAATAGCGAAGGGGTGGGCATTATGAAACAGCAGGATCCTATTTTCTGAAAGCAGACGAAAACAGCGTCATAATAGCATGGAGCCTACTTTTTAATTCTAATTTTAATTTAAGTGTTTAACCTGCCTTTAAAATAAAGATGAGTTACATCACACTTTCTTCTGTGACAACTAGAGAGTATTTGAATAAAAATAAAATTATGATTTCAGAAATAATTTTATAGTTTATAAAGTAAATATGTGAAGAAATTTATCTTAATTTATGAAAAAATAGTTTTAAAAAATACTTATCGACTCATCCAAACACCCCTTCACTCTAATTTGCTAATCATTTAATATTTTAGAAGTAAACTTTTTAATGGTACTTAAAATTTTAAAGTATTATCAACCACTTTGAAAGATTTTGATTAAAGTATATATTTAATTTTTTAATTTTATATGAGTTTTTAGTCCTGGAATTTTTATTTAAAAAATATCATTATTTATAATTTACAGTATTATTTGTTAAAAATGTTAGATTATACGTGAAAATAAATTAGCCTTTTGAAATTTTAATAACATTTTAAATTTTAAATTAAAGACATCTAACTATGCGCACGACTATGCTATTCAGCGTTCAACTGTTTTTAGCATAAATTTAGAAACCCAAAACATTTTCATAAAATGTTCTTAACATTGGTTGTTGTGGGCGGGGGGATAGTGTTTTGGCACCGTCGTGATAAGCGTGGGGGTTATTTATCGGAATGATCGGGAAAAAAGGTGGGAGTGAAAGGGTGGTCCTGGCGCGTCAGTGCCTGCCTTCTGCTTTTGCTTTTTGAGTTTTGACAACGTGCCCCTCTTCTTTTTCTTCTGATCTTATCTGTCCCAACCTTTTTCATCTTTAACCACGCATTTAAGTCTTGAATGCTTATAGGCAGGTAATTGGAATAATTTTTTTTATATAAAAAAAATAAACTTTTTCACATACTTGTTTCATATTTTATAAATTATAACTAAAATAATTTCAATTGGGGACAATTCTTATAGTATTCTGACAATTTTAATTTAGGGGAGTGTTTGGCAACAATTAAAAATGCTTTTAAAAAATATTTTTTTATAAAATGAGACAAATTCCTTCACATATTTATTTTATATACTATAAAAGTATTTTTAAAATTATGATTTAATTTCTACCAAAACACTCCTTTAACAGTGAATACATTGTGCCTAAACGGTTAAAACAACTTTTATTAAGGCCAACACATGTTTGCCCAATCCAGTGTTTATATAAATTTAGTTTGTGTGCCCATCTCTTGTGCACTGAGCGTTAAATTTGAACCGTCTGAATTGTTTAAAATCTAGATTTAATATAATTTTATTTTTATATTCTTTTATTATGAGAATATTTTTATATTCTTGATGATTTAATATTTTAATGCGTATAGAATTTAAAATAAAAATTATCTTTTAATAGTTATCCTAAAAAATACTTTTTATTTTAAAATTTATTAGTTCGATATTTTAAATCTAACTTATTAAAACTATATTTTCATGGCGAAGTTCCACTGCTACTGAGATTGGTTGCGTGTGTGTGTGTATAGATTAAATATTGAATTTTACATGATTTTTCTTAAATTTTGGATCATGTATAGATAATTTTCGTAACATTTAAAAATTTACAATAAATATCTTAAAATCTTACATCATACAATTAAATTTTAAAGATTAAAGAAGTTTATTTTACACGATTTAAAATTTAGGAGAATTTTGTATGATGACACGCAGGCGCACGCTATATGCTTATCACATTAACGAGTTATTGACTTTTATGCCCCGTTCATTTATGCCTAATCCAACGTCAATCTCTGATTTTTATAACTTCGTGAGAATACATTGATGTTGATTACTATTTTTTTAATTAATTATTCATGTATTCTCAGCTATGCTCCACAAAATTAAAGCAAGCCACGTTAGTCCCAAGTCCCCACTTATTATTATTATTATTATTATCATCATTTTGCCAACAGTCACAGCTTATTATAAAGAGTATAGCTAGTAACAACCAACTTCATTAAATAATTGGTAATAAATCTTTTATAAATTAAATACTTATCTTTTTGTCTAGATGTGCTGTTTTCAATGAATACTACGTTGATGTTGATTGATTTTTTCTCTTGATTTAGGGGGTGTTTGGCAAAACCAAAACCATGGTTTCAGAATCACTTTTCCGCAAAACGAGATAACCTCCTCCACATATTTACTTCGTAATCCGTAAAAGCACTTCTGAAACCATGGTTTGGTTTATATCCAAACACCCCTTAATAAATATGTTTTTTGAAATTTAAATTTATTTCGAAATCAAGGAGTCCTAGTCTCTTTTAATAAATATGTTTTTTGAAATTTAAATTTATGTTTTTCTTATTAAAAGGCTGAGGTTGCTTACCATATATCAACTAAATACTTGTTGGTTGATTTTTAATATCATTATTTAATATTGGTTTTAAACTAAACGAAAGTACAGTATGGGCATCTCTTTCAATAAAAATTTGAACCTTATTTTGTCATATGAAAACTATAGTTTTAAAAGTGTTTTACAGTGTATGAAGCAAATATATGAAAGAGTTTGTTTCGTTTCGGGTAAAAAAAAAACTTTGGTGCTTCTAAGCATTTTTTTTTTTTAAGAGGGACTAGTCATTTTCCAACCCTGGTTGGCAATTTTTGTGTTAAAAAAGGAGAGGCGTTTCGCGACAATTATGGGCCTACTTTCCGTCTGAACGCGTACGTGGGTTTCCCTTTTGGTGATCCATCATTCATCTTTGCCACTGCTCACTTCCCACTTCTCACCGCTTTTGATTTCATGATCTTTGTCTCAATCACTCATAAAGAACTTTGTTTTTATCAATTATTTACTTTTCAATTTCCATTCCTTATTTTCTGTCTTTCTTTTTCACTTGGATTTCCTCTTCCACAAAATGTTCGGTGCCTTTGTTTTTTTTCCCCCCTCAGTCTCTAATTCTATTAGTTACAGTGAAAATGTTCGTTGCCGACGCTTCTCAGAAACGAAAAAGAAACATTCAAAGATGACTGCAATTTCGCTCATGCCAAGCTTTTTGCAGGATAATTTTGACCTGAAAGCCAGAAAGAAAGTCCCGCTCGCTTCTTTAAAACTGTTTATATAAATAAAAACAAAACTTTTTTACATATATTTATTTTGTATATAGTTAATTTGTAATTTAAGAAGCTGCTTTTAAAAATTAAAACCTCCAATTCCAATTCCAAACAAACCCCCACAGGTCAAGTCATATCTCGTGTTTCCAAAATCAAGCTTTCCACTGAACGAGTGAAGTTGCCAAACAAAAATCCAATCACTATTTTATTTAATATACTGTCATAAATATAAGAGATGCATTATAAAATAGGTTTTATATTTAAAATCATAGTACTCCTCCGGTCCTTAATATAGGACCCAATTGGTGAGTTGGTTTTGGTTCTAAATATAAGACCCATTTCTCATATTTATCAATTTTCTCTAAATTACCCCTATAGATACCCCCTCAATCATAATCAAGTGTAGAAGAGGGAGGGGGTATTAAGAAAGATGATTATGGTGTTTTAGGAAAAACATGTCACATTTTTTATAATTAACTAACTTACCTAACTTCCTTAATCTAATCAAATTAGTTAAATGGGTCTTATATTAAGGACCGGAGGAGTATATCAAAACATATTTATAAGTCACTAACAATATACTACCTTCCGTTCTAATTATAAGACTTAGTTGACTAATTTAAAGAGATTAAGAAAATAAGTTAAGTTAGTTATTTGTAATAAATAGATGTTGTCTTTCTTAAAATATTTTTACTAATCAAGTATATTAGTTAAAACTACTATTATTAAAAGGACTATCTTAGAAAAAAATACATAACTATAAAAGACAAAATGGATTGGAGTTTTATATTTAAGACCAAAATAAAAATCTAACAAGGTTTTATATTAAGGACCAGGAGTAGTAATTTATTTTAAACTCCGTGCAACAACACTATCTAACCTGGACAAACAAGTCTGACAATCTTTTTTCCCTTTTCCATTATTGAAAAGCATCTGGATCTACAAATCCACTGAGCTCGCTGTAAAGGTACACCGTCAGAAAATACTTAATTTCCAGCCGAGCAATTCTTTTCAGACTTGAAAAATTATGCTTGATTCCAATGGTCATATAACTCAATGACACAAGAGCCCGCGAAAAGTCGCGCATCCAATCCTATTTGTAATCTTATACTGCTAATATCTACTTCTTTAAACTAAGAAAAGAAAAGGAAAGTGGATTGCTATCGTTTTAGTTTTCAAAATAGCCTTGAACAACAAAAGTCATTCTGTTCATATGGCTTGCAATACATGATTGCTTATCATGTAGTTCATTGACTTTAATTTTACTTTCACTCGGTAACCTCCAAAATTAATCACTAACCACGAGGGCTAGCGATGGACAAACAAATATTGAAGCCAGAATTGTGGTATCTAACCTATTAATTATACAAGAAGAGCATATGGCTATTAGCTTCTTTAAGTAGTGCTCTGATCAATGGTTGCGCCACCCCCCACTGTCAAAATTCTACAGTTCCATGAAATCTGCCAAATATCAACCGAAGACCTCGTATCGTTCTGGATGCTCGTTGTCAAAGGCTAGCCCATCCACAACTTCAAAACTTTATCCTTACCACCAGAAGCTACCTTCTCTCCATCTGGACTCCAATCAACAGAGTAAACCTTTTCCAAATGGCATTAGACCCCAACTAGTTAGCAGAGTGTAACAGTAATCAAGAAAAAAATAAAATCATGTTTTGGTATATAAACTGACATACTTCATCTGCATGGCCTGGAAGGTCTTGCTTCAATTTTCGAGTCCTAATATCCCAGACCTTGATAATTAAACATGATATAAGGTCAAAAACAAGTTCTTGTTTCCCTTGTCCATATAAAGATGGTAGTACTTAAAGCATAAAGAGAAACTGAAGTTGCTCATTCATACTTCTCAGTATTCTTTATTGAAAGGAATGACAAATATAAGCATACCTTGAGTGTGGAGTCTTTGCTGCCACTTAATAGGAGTCTACTGTCTGCAGACCAGCTATGCAGTAAAACCCAATTTTACTAAGTAACAGATTATGAATGCAAGACCTTGGCTTCACAGTTTGAAATAAGGCAAGTCACATCAATTGTACCTGATCTGATAGACGGGCCCAACATGGCCACGAAATGCAGCAACAAATTTCCCAGTAATGCCATTCCATAATTTAACAGATTTATCGAAAGAGGCACTTGCCACCCATTGTCCATCAGGTGAAAAGTAGACATGGTTTACAAGCTGTCACCCAAAAAAAAAAAAAAAAAAATCTTTAAGCTTGAGGTTGAGGTTACATAATATGATTACTTTTTCACCAAACTTGTGATTAAAGTGTCTAACAATAAACCCATTTTCAGCCAGCCAACAACAGAGAAGAGAATCCTGTCATAAAAATGGACCAAAGAGAAGAGAGGGAAGAAATGATAACCACATACTCCTCCGGTCCTAATTATAAGACCCAATTGACTTATTTGAGGAGATTAAGGAAGTAAGTTAAGTTAGTTATTTATAATAAATAAGTGTTGTTAGTCCTAAAATATCCTTGCTAATTAAGTATATTGGCTAAAACTATCATTATTAGAAGGATTATCTTGGAAAAAAATGCATAAATATAAGAGAGAAAATGGATTGGGTCTTATATTAGGACCAAATAAAAAGTCAAATTGGGTCTTATAATAAGGACCGGAGGAGTATATTTTATGATCATTGTTTGGATCAAGATGTGGCACAACCATATGAGCCACCAGTCAATGGGATCTCAAAGGGTCCCCAAGAAATGATCACATGGAATTTACTGAATCTAGCCAAAATCCTGCATCAGTGGAAGAACTCTTCCAAAATCTACATTGCTATGCGAGTGCGGATGCTAAGTGGCAGAGCAAGGTCACGTTGCCATTTTATGAAATATTTAAAAAAAAAAAAAAAATCTTGCAGACACAGTTTGAAACTGTACACCAAAGAAGTTAGTCTTTAGAAGAAGTTTAACCTGCTGGTGACCTGTCATGCGAGTTTTAGGGTGCTTGCTGACAGATGGTTCCCAGAGGAACATGGTAAAATCATCAGATCCAGAAACCAATCTTTCAGGGCCATCACCTCTCATTTTGTTGTACCTTTCTAGAGCAACCTAAATTAAACAGCAGCATCGGATATCATCAGTAACACACATGAGAAGAAAGTTTCATTAAAGAAAGGTGTCTGTAAGAGTAACAACAGGAAAACAGAAATAGAGAAAAATTTTCAAACAGCTCAGAAAATAATTACGTACATAGTAGATAACCAAGTAGAAAGGGAGGACAAGATAAAACTTTCTCCAAAGATTCAAGATAAAATTTCAGATGAGAATAACTAACAAAGTAAAAGAAGCAGGATGTAATAAAAACCATACATTTGAAGTATGAAAAACATTTGAAGAAAGATTCAACAGGATGGCATCACTTATTAAACCAACCAGAAGTTACCTTCTTCATTTCCTCAGGAGATGAATATTGTTTTCCAGTATGGTCAAAAGCTCCAGTGCGAAGAACATATTCAGTGCTAAGTGCCAGAGAATTAACCCAATGACCATGCCCCTGAAGGAGATCAACCAACACGGAAATGATTAGAGAACAGACACTAACGTCAAACGAAAATGACCATGTTCTTAGGACAATTGATTACTATCAAAACACATTTGCCTGAAAGCCGTCATTTCTGGCTTCTCAGATAAACCATTTGTCAGACAAGGGGGAAGCTAATCCAGTCTTTGATTGTAATCTACAGACTAAGACTCTGAAGATAAAACTTGCAATGGCAGTAAAAGTGGACAAGACATTTGAAAAATTAAAGGTCAAATAATTCAAAATGAAGAAAATTTTGAAACAAGACTTAGAACAAGGAGTCTGCAAAATGATAATCAAGCATAAAATGAACGTAAAAAGAACAAGATATTAAGGCTTTATAACAACAATGTTCACCTTCAGTTCACGAATGAGCTTCCCTTGCGTTGTTTCCCAAACTTTGATAGTACAATCCTGGGAGCTATAATAACAAATGATAAAAGAATATAATTAGGCTCCAAGCTATTATACAGCAACAATCATCCACAAATAAAACTCTTAAGCTTAATAACAGTAGGAATCAGAAGTTGTCACACGGCTGAAGAACATATCTATGAACCAGTATAGCAACAGGAGGCAAAATCATAAGAACCCGTTTTATAAGGTTTCCAGTAATTAAATTTTATATGCTACTCTAATACCCCCGACTCCTTACAATCACAATTGAGCATGTAAAACATATGCAGCAAGCTTGTTATGAAAGTAGGTTACGAACAATGAGATTAAAAGCACTGCTGAGAGCACAAGAAGTGGTAACCGCACAGACAATGCACAGAAGGAAATGTAGATGAAGTAATGCACAGCATGGGAAAAGGACTGCCGGTATGATGGAGAAAAGCAGCTGCAATAATGTGCTGACGTAGCAAATAGACAGAAAATATAGGGAGAAGCAGAAAAAATCGTCAAAAAAAAAAAAAAAGGTTGTTAGGGCGCTCCCTGAAAAGTGGCTAGAGAATCCCCAAATGATTGCCAGAAACATGGCCACGGAAGGGATCCATTTTCCTCTATATCAAAATACACGAGGTTTCCCACACAAACAAAAATAAATACCTTAACAATGGACATCTCAAGTTTCAAACCCACAACGGCCCAGTGAAACAAAGACATATTTTGTAAACTTGAAATAGCAATATCTTCTCTTGGTGAGGACTTGATATTTAACAAAAATACTATAATAATATCCAGGTTTACAAAATTGGGACACGTAATAATAAAGGACAAAAAACATAAATAAACCTCAGCAAAAGTAGATAAAGATGGACACATTACCCAGTATATATCACACCATCTCCGCCCCATTTCACACATGTTATTGCAAGTGTATGGCCACTGAGACATATAACACTTCTCCTCAAAGTGATATCCCAAATACGAGCATCCCCATCCTTGCTGGCACTCACGAACCGACGGCAAGGAGCGTTCAGGTGTACAGGTTCCCAAGATATGCCAGTAATCCATTTCTTGTGGCCCTATATATATTGAAATAAAATAACCACACATGATGTTCAGATCCATATTTTGGGGACAAAAAAAGAACGAAAGTGGGCATACCAAAATTAGCCACATAATGGTACAGGCAACTGCATTTGCTAGACATTATAATAAAGCTATTTGTGCAATTTCACTCAAAAGCTTAAGCTTTTGTCTCAGATTCGTCCTTCACAAGGTATCAAAACCTCTAACCAAATAATCTAGAGTCATATAGGGCTGCGAGAAATAAGCATATGTCAAAACATTGTCTGCTTTCCCTTTCTTCCTGTCTTGCAAAATGAGGCCAGTTCACATCTAGGCTGGCCTTACCTTTTCTTCTTCACATCTACACACAACTATTATTATTGACCAAATCAAATAAGTTGGCATACTTGCATCTTATGAACTGTTAATGCTTTTGACAATGCATGGCAAATTTGCACTGCCTACTCGTTAAAAAAAATGCTCTCAGAATGATTTCAGATAAATTACAAGCAGAAATCAGTAACAGCAAAAAAAATAATTATAATAGCAATAAGCTATTCAAGCTGAGGACTTTACAATCAGTGGATTGCCAGACGCCTTTCCAGTTTGTGGGTCCCAACACTGAAGTTCCCCAGCTTTGCTGCCACTTACAAGATGCTTACCATCTGGCGACCATGCAATACAGAGGACCCAATTCTTGTGTCCTGTATCAAACAAGATTAATTATCAGTAATATGCTATGCAACTTGCAAGGGAGTGAGTTTAACTTCATCATAGTTGCAAAGATAAACTAGCATTCAGTACAAAATTTTCATTTCAAGGATGCAATAGCCAGGAAAGGAAAATGCGTGATACAGATGATCATCTTAATTACAATTTATATCATCCAAAAAGGTACAGCTGAATAAAATACATTTAGTGTGCACAATGGATCATGATTTTTTATAAAATGCCAATGTTGGGCATAATCCAAATGTTCTATTTTCTGTATGATTTCATGAATCAATCCTGCTCTTATACAGGAAGTAGATGCTTAGATATCTCCACAGTTGTGGTTTTGATTACATAAGACAAGCAGGTCTGATTAGTAGGTACCAAGATAATCTGATGGTCTTAGATGTCAAACCTGTGCAGGTGAACAATGGGGTCTGAGTGTTAAGGTCCCAAAGACGAACAGTGGCATCACCTGAGCCGCTTGCCAACTGTCGCCCATCAGGACTAAAGGCAACAGTCAACACTGCTTCTGCATGACCTACACTCCCAACAACATGAATTTCAGATTATACGCAATACTGGATAATGTGATAATCAATCTGCATATTTAGAAATGAAAAAGGGGGCAATATTGACCATTAATCTTAAATCTGCTAGAATAAACCATAGTGTAGATATAAGATAATGCAAAGAGAGTTAAAGTTGAGTGTGAATTTCTCTTTGCTATCTGATTTCAATAAATAGCACAAGGCAGAAACTATATAAGATTAACATAAGAAAAATAAAGTAGTCATAACTCTTAAACACTGACATAATAAAAATAAAACAAAGAGGAAAGCAAATCTAGGGATTTCATATGTAGTTTTGTATTAAGAAAATAGCAAGGTTTGACATGATTTATCAAACAAGACCAAACCAGCACAAGTCTGACAATAAAATTCATATCTGACATACCAGAAATAGTTGCTGAACAACGATGTACAGGACGAATCCGAAAAATGGCTTGAGGTTGATAAACTATAGACACTACCTTCTCCACCGAAACTGCACATATGTTTAAAAAAATAAACAAGAAATATAAAAGGAACGTTTGTTAGGGCCCATAAACTGCTCAAAGAAATTCATCAATCAAGAAAATTTCTGTCAATTCTGTACCGGAGGCTGACAGTTGACATCACTTTCTGTGATTGAAATTCTGACTAACCTTTGTTTTTCTCCAAGTAAGTTCCAAGGGGCACACTAAGCTCCTCATCTGATATGTAGAAGCTGTATGGTAATTTCTCCTCCTGAAATGGGGAAAATAAACTCAACCTGATATGGAAACAACGTAAAGAAGCTCTTAATTTCATAAGTAATAAAGGTCTGATATCTTCCAAGCTCAATCCAGAAGTATTCATCTAACGAGTAACTGAGACAAAACATTACGGTGGCCAGCAACTAATGATTTAAACTGCGTAAAAATTCAAAATTGAGGGTAATTGTGTTCTTAGTTATCAAACCCAAAAGAAATATTACCCGGGATTCACAAATAAATAGATTGAATGATAAGAGAAAAGGAAATTTCCTAAGTTTCTTAAGCTTTACAAGTACAAATTAGAGTAAATTTGTCAACTTTTCCACAGGAAGTATACACATTGATGGAACTTACATTCTCAAGAAGCGTATTGACAATCTGTTGAAGTTGAAGCGGACCCGCGTTTTGTGGGAGATGCATAGGAGCTCTCAAAGGAGTCCCTTCTGGGTTTGTCAAGAGACATAATACTGTTCTGGTTACCTCCTCACTCTTCTCCACATCATCAACCTCCATTGTTGAGGTTTACAAGCAGTGGCACCCCGCCGTTCTGCACTGCCTCCCCACACCTCCCTCGCAGCCCCTTATACAGAACGCGCCCCCTCACCGAAAAAATAAAACAAAAAACAACTAAAAATCCCTTGAAAAATATATATATACACACGCACTGACGCGCTCAAACAGACATATAAACACAGACGATGCGCCTAAGTGTAATATATAATACCATATATATACATACCCTTTATTAATCAATATATTTAAATAAAAATTAAAATATAACTGACTTCTCATATATTAAAGATGAAGGAGAATGATATTATACTATTTTTTTTTGAGCTGAATATACTTATATTATATATGTTAATCTTTTTTTGTAGTTAGATTATTTGTTATTTAACTTGAAATATGAATTTCCAGCCAAAAAACACTTGAACTGTGGATTGTAATTATGAATTTTATGGAGAATTGAAGATGATGTTTTGAATTATGAATTATGACTGAACTGATTTGTAAAAACTGAAAGGTTAATATTTTGACAATTTAAGTTTATGAGCTACCAATTACGATGGTAGATTTAAAACACTTATCATTGTCGAGATTCTTTTAAAATGAAATCAGTTTTTTTTTTTTTTAAAGCATGATTCATATATAACCAGGTATGTGATTGCTGGTACGAAGTCGCTGTGGCGCACTAGAGCTGCGCATGGACTCGCCTTCTGGCTTGGTTATAGTTCTTATATTCATTATTGGTCAAGCGTTTTCAGACACAAGGCACAAAAGCTTCTCTTCCCATTATCTGAAGACTCTTAGATCCTTTTCCGGTAGAGCAAAGTGCTTAGGTTCTTTCGATGCATCAACTTTGACATAACTTATGGCCAATTCAGTTTTCGATTTGCTTTGTCCATTCATGGGCGCTGATATAGATTCAAACCTTATTTTACGTGTACTTTAGAAAGAAACCCTTGGTTCAGTTCATCCCTTCCTCGTGATAATCTAATATCCATTGTTAACAAGTGTATTGAACTATGAAGAACTAGCTCATTTCCCTCTCACATCAGAATTAGAGTCAGTAGAGTGCTTTCTTACATAACAATTACACTATTGAATAACCCTGCAAGCTTGTGATGTTCCACATTAACTTTCATGTCTTTTCTAGGAGTTGCCGAGCCATGATATCCAAGTCGATACAAGTTCTACGTAAGTAGGATTCAGATCTCCCCCATCTCTCTCTCTCTCTCTCTCTACCTCTCTACTTAGTATCATGAGTCAGTCCAACTTCATTTTCAACAAGAAAATTTATCAAGGATCAAACTAATTTACACCACAAAGGGTATAACCTTTTGAATTGCCAAGCTCTATTACCAAGTATTTAATTTTTAACTGAATTAACTCGTTAGGTTTTGAAGATCAGACAGGTCATAAATAAAATCAAGGGTGCTCTTGGATTGAGAAAAATGGAAAAAAAAGAAGAAAAAAAAGACGAAAAATTTTAGTGCAGACATTTTTTAGATTTAATATGTACGTGCGTGCGAGAAACAGCCCTTCAAACATGTTTTCATTGAACAGAATTGGCAAGAATTGGTGGGAAGAAAGGAAGAGTATTTCCTATTTGAATATAAATTTATAAATTTCATTAAGAAACATTTTTAACAAGTTTTTTTTATGCAAATCAAAATAAAACTCTTTTTACATGTTTAATTCTTATACCATAAAATTACTTTTAAAACTATAATTTGGTCTTAAGCTAAAATTTCTCTTCACTTCTTCATCCTCCACAGTTCAAGCACATCCTAAAACTAAAGCCTATTCTTTGATATTCTCTAAACATTTAAAACATTACAGAAATAAGCGAACAAATCCTTGTAATGCGGGGCAGTGAGTAGTAGAATATCGAATAATGAATGTGCCCAAACAAATATTGGCATGCTTAGGACAAGACTGGCCTTAGCAGATATAAATCTATAATATATATATAGCAAGCACAAAGAAATATCAACCAACGGCCATTACAAACTTTTGGGCTTAAGTTCACAAGAACTACGATCGACTGGTGCGTTTGAAGTTTGTAAAAACATTTTTTGTCAAATCATCTCAGATCATTGAAATTTTCCTGGTCAGTGATTAGTAATAATAAACTTAAACGATGAGCAAAACAAGGCGCTGAAATTGGGTGAAAGAAAGATTCTTTTATCAAACTGGAACAGCAGTCTCTCTGAGAGTGCAAACAAGCAATTGATCATAAAGACAGTAGCAGGATTTATCGCTTAAAATAAACAGCAGTACCAACAATATCGCATATTCCAAAGGGACAAAAAGAAGGAAATTTTAGTTCACCAAAAAATTAAGGGCACCGTTTAATCTTTTATCCACATTTTTGCGTTTAGAAAAATAAAGCAAAAGTTTGATATGCACAGGAACCAAATAATCATGGTTGTGATATATTTGGCTATTTGCACATGAAACACACAACTACAAGCTATCTCAAGGATGGTGAAAACAACCTACACTAAACATGCCCTAAAAGCAAATCATGGGATATTGTCCTATCCTGACTGGATGAACTGGAGCAGAATGCAAGTCAACTTGTCAGGCATAGAAAGGAAATGCAAAACTCGCATGTATATTTCTTAACAGACAAAAGGCAGACATACATGCAAAATAGCCTCAGAAAAAACGACGTAGCAGAAAAGGATTTGGGCCAGATATATACTGGCTTCATATAAGATTAAATTATTCGGAAACAAATTCCAGAGTTGTAAAAAGCAGCAATCATAAGGGAGCAACTCGTTTGCCAAGATCTATTCATATTTCATGTCATTAAAGACAGGATAGACTGGACTTTTCATTAAGCATTACTCTGGAAAGCTACAAGAGGCAACTACATGCATTATTGTAGAACATTTACTTTGACCAGACATTAGATTACAAATTAAGAACAAATACAAAAAGCATGAAACGAGATTTTCCAATCTGAAAATCCACTAGGAATACCAAGGTTGAATTATACCAGGGACAAACAACCAGCTAGGTGAAATTCTCAGAAAACATAAACGCAAAATCTCCTCAGATGCTACTTCTTAAATAATTTCTAATGAGAGAGGATGCATGCAACTGAGCACTGAAACAGTAAGAAGTATAAGGGTTTAATATCCATGAAGAGATATTATAAGTCAAATTATCAGAGAAGAATTTAATAAAGGATGCAGTTCATTTTAATTTTAGACAACAGACACCTCCAACTTAGAAATTAGAAAGACTGAGTTTTAAATCTGCAAACAATCAACGACTATCTTATCGTGCACTTTATCAAAAAGAAGATTAAAATGTCGGCAGAATTATTCAACTTGCATCAATTAACAAATGTTTGCAAAACCTTCTGAACAAAAGTACGGATGAGTCCAGGATCACTTGCATATTGAATCAGACAATATTATCTTTCCAATTATGTCTCATCTTTTGCATTTGATCAATATCCGGAAAGCTTGCATTAACATTAACATAATTTCAGAGAGGAAATGAAGAGAAATATTTTAGCTGCTTGAATGTATTCTTTAAGAAAATGGTAATGAATTAAAAAGGGAACACACTACATAGGAAATTCTCATCGGAACATGATACAAATGCTCAAGGGAGAAAAGCAGGTCCGGAACAATTGCAAGTGATCAGTCAGAACAAAGCATAATATCACAACATAATATCATGTTTTATTGGAAAGATAGCACTACAAAATGCCCTTGTACAGGCGCTTGTTTTAAAGACACTAACTAGAACGAGGATTTGTCAAAACAAAGCAGAATACTCAAATTAAGAAAATAATAAGGGGGAGAAAAGACATAATTCACAACATGTATTATACACCCTCTACCAGCACCTCAGTCAGAGAAAGAGCACCCATCACAAAATACAAAGAAAACCTAATTCTCAGCAGCGCAGTAAAAAATCAACAGGAAGATGTGATGACGTGAGAAAACTGATTGAAGCACAATGATATAGAATCCACAGGGATTCCAAACATACATCACTGCACAGGGACATTATTCCCTATATTATAATGAGAGGAGAGAAAAATAAAGTGTGTTTGTCTGTTCGGGGGGCAGATCATCCATCCACTAATGGACTGTAAGTAAACTAGAAGAAGAAGAAAGGAAAGAGGCAGTTAAATGAACTCAAATTCATCTTCCTTGAGGTGGGCAAAGAACTTGACAGGACCACGACCGGGAATCTCAGTGACAAATTCAACCTTGTAAGGTAAATTAGCGGAGATTCGTTTCCCCTTCCAGAGCCCAACATATTGCTTTATCTCACCTTCCAAACCCGTAATTTCAAGCTCAGGAACTTTAGGAACATGGTACACCTTCAGAGGAGCCGTGACCCTTACCCGCGATCCAACATTAGCTTCTGGGGACGAAGTGGATGGAGGAGACGACAAATCATTGACCTCCACAGCAGAAGGAACGGTCCAATTTCGCGAATGCAACGATTTGCTAAAAGAAAGCTCACAATCACGGGCAACACTCGCGGGCCTCGCTACCAAGGGTATAGGGCAAAACCCACGACGCGCAATCAAGGAAGAGAAAGAAGATTTAGCTGCCGCTGATGATGGTGATGACGTCATTGTTTTCATATGGGTCTTCATGGTGCAATTAGGGGAAGCACTGACCATGTTGTTTGGGTCTGAAATGGCAAAGGAGGAGGAAGAGATGATCGGTGAAATGCAGGAGGTCATGCTTTTTTCCGATTTATGGGATTCTTGTCGTTTTCCCTATCAGTCTTGGAAGCGGAGGATGAATGCGAAGGAGTGAAATTTGGTAACTTCTGCTTGTTCAGAGATCAGCAGCAACCTCTCATTAACTGACTGTTCCCTCTCCTCGTTCAGCCACCCGACATATTGGAGTTTTTTCCTATCAGGCGGAAGATATTTCAAGCACACAAGCTATATCTTTTTTTTTATAATTTTTTTTTAAAATTCATGAATCTCTATTGTTTCACATAATTTTTAATTAAGTCCTTAAGCAAACTACTGACTTGAGTTTTGTAAATAAAAATTCTAAAAAATTATACTGGGAAAACTTCTCATCATATGAGATATGATGCAGCTCATTTAAAAAAATAATAATAATATCATACATCAGTCCACTTTTACAGTTTAAAAAAAAAATGGAATAATTTAGTATGCCATTATTAAGTTTAGCGTCATTTAGAAATCTTTTATACGTAAGCGATATTTGATGCGGAAGACACGTGAACGATCTAGCATCACAAGTCCAATATCTGAATCCGGTTCCACACAAGCTTTTGCAATTTGTTGTTATTCTGCTCTTCCAAGGATAACCTTTGTTCCATTGGGTAAATGGATAAGGATAATATCCCTATATCGTTTGTTTCGTTTTGTTCACATCACGATTATGCGTGCGCCCCCGTTCAAGATTATTCACGACTCTGGTCAAAAAAAGACTATTCATGACTGCCCCTCGTTACCTGCCATTTGGATCCATTTTGAGCGCTGAGTAAATAGTTTGAATATGAGGAAAATTACACAACTCTTGGGGAAAAAATTTAGCTATTTTAAGTTTTAATATGCCTATAATAGATCCAATCCAAATACCTCTAAATAAAGAAGGTAGATTTTTTGCGCGTAGAAAGGGAAGACTATATTACTTTAAATTCAACAAAAAAATAAGTCTATGAGCAATATTTTGATATAAACTGAATATTGGGTCCACGCATTCCCCCAGATATCCCAGGATACGGCATATAGAAACCTAGGCTGTGTGGCGGTTGAGAAGAATCTCAGGAATAACCCACTTCTCTCTCCTGCCCCTTTCCCCCGAGAGTCGTGTATGATTTTGGCTGTCAATTGGTGGTTGTGCACACGACTTGACAACTGCTAAGAGGCAGAGCCAATTACAGTAAAAGAAATAAGGGAATTCATTGGTGCCAAGAGCCAACCTGTACGCATTACTGCTTAGCGATCGCCCGATCAAATGCATTTTGGTCTTAAATTGCTGGAGTGCTTTCGGCTGTTAGACGGGCCATAGTTTTTCTTTACAATCAAGAGATTATATGCAATGTTACTCAATATCCTTTTACAAAATCTTGTTTGAGAAATCAAGCTATAGGGTAAATACATTCCAGGTTCGCATTAATGATAAACAAAATATACTTCCCTGTCTTGCGAAGCAAAACCAAGGTGCAAGTATAATCTCATGGGTATAACAAAAAGGTGAAACTTGCTTGGAAAAGAAAAACCTATTGGCAAAAGATCCGCATCATGACATCCATAAGTAACAGAAGCTCAGAATCTAAAGAATAATCTACTACACCACTTGATAGTTTTCGGTGACCAACTGAATTCTCTGAGAGTATTTGGGAGGATTGCCACCCCTTTGCGGTATGATGTTGACGACCTGCAATTGAAATTGAAACAGGGCAAGTTAAATGAAAACTTTGCCTTTACTGAATTTAACACGCTGGACAAAAAATGAACTACAGATAATAATGAAGGTGCTTCATTCAAGATGCTACTGTAACAGTTATTGTATAGACAGGATAAGTGTCTATCCACTGTAACAATGGTCAATTATGCAATAGCTTCCCTTAAAAATAGAATATATGCATCAACTTCAGCCAATCAGCCAGCAAGCTGACGAATAATTCAAGAATCAATTTACTCCCAATAAGCACAGCAAGAATCGAATGCCGAAGAAGAAGAAGAAGAAGATTTGAGCCAACCTTCAGGTCACTAAATGTTTCAGTCGCTGAGAATCGGACTGAAATTGGAAAGAAAACAGATGTATCTGCTGGTGGAACAACAAACTCCAGAGACCCACTGCCACATACACAAGAGTCAGACAACACATTCAGGACACAGACGATTATTGCATAACAAAGCTCTCGACAATACCACATCAAATTTAGTATACCTGCGGTTTGAATTGTCAATAAGGAGAATAGACCACTCCAAGAAGGAATTCCTAGAGTCATACCTGAAATGGAAATTTTAAAAATGTGTTATAAAAATGAAAAAAAGGAGAGCCAAATGAAAACATATTAACTCAACAAAACATTCCAGTCTGTCGTGAAGTACACTACATAAGAAAATAAGAGTTTAATTCATGCTCATCTGACGGTGAAAGAGATGCAAGACATGCAAACCAAACACGAATATGCAACACTTCTTAACTAAATGTCCATTTAACTAGTCCTATCTAAGAAAGCCACAGCTTGATGAAAGGGTAAATCTTGGTTAACACAGCTAGCAAATATGGTCATTGTCAAGACAGCAAATATTGACATGTACTACCAGAGATTTTACGTATATATAATCTCCATGCAGTATGCACAAATCATGGACGTAATATCCCTTGATATAATTCATGGAGCAAAAACTAAATTTACCTCCATTCCCCATCAATCTGCCTAACATTTGGTGCTTCTCGAAGAGCTGGAAGAGGTACTGAGATCACAACATTTCGCAGATCAAACATTGATGAAGCTTCATATTCAATGCTGACATAAGTTTCATTTCCAGAAACAGAAGGCCAGCAGTTGACTGCATACACAGAAAAATTTTACACTTAAGTTAATAATACAACAGTAGAACAACACAAGCAATAGATAAGATTAGTGATAAGTATGAACCCACTAGTCAGTGGCACCAGGGACTCATCATTGCTTTGCATTCTCCACTTCAATAGGCCAACACCAGCTGCATCGCCAGCTTGACCAGTAGGAAAAGGCCTATTGGGGTCCTTTAGACCTAGTATATTCTCAGAGGAAAATAATTCTTTGTTCACATTAGGGTGCGTTTTGAATAGGATGCCTGGATTGCCCCCAGTCTTGATCTGTAAATGCAAGTCAACACATTTAAAAAACCACTCTAGGACAGGGATGTAAGGTGCATGTACATCTAATTTTTATTAACAATGAAAAATACTTCTCTACACTTTATGTTCTCAATAAATTCCTAAAACAAATACCACTTGATACCAACAATGACTGTTTTATAAATAACATAGATATGCATCACACATCAGAAGCAACAGACTACTGAATATTTTCCCCTTTGGTTTTGTTGAGAACGAGTTCATCCTCTCTAATTGGGAAGCCATTGTCTGATTAAAACCTATCTTTGCTACTCTTCTAAAGAGATTTAACAAATCCAGAAAATATTTTCATCAAAAAATAAAATAAAATAAAGTAAACGACGAAGAAAAACTATTCAGGTTAAACCAACAAGCAGGAAATATATCCCTGTCAACACACCAAAGTTTCAGTAGAAAGAATAAGATACCTGAACTTGAATAAAACCATCCTCTTGGTTAAGGATCTGAAGAGATAATGTGCCCTGGACATCAAAATTGCTCACTCCACCATCTCGTTTTAGAGTCACGTTAAGTTTCTCCTCAACAGTTAAAGTTACAGGATCAGTAGCAGGTGGGGCAGCTGGTCTAGACTGGCCAAGCTTTGGCTGAACATCTTCAAGAATGACTTCACCTTCCGCTTTCAATGATTCCAAAAATTGGTTTGTCCTCTGAGATTTACCAAGCTGCATACCAGAACCTTTTGGTGGAGCAGTGGCAGATGCGGGTGGATGGCCTAGGGAACAGAATACAGGAGCACAAAAGTGAAAAGAGCAAATCTTAATATGCAACTAATAGCAAATTTATGCGTTAATCAGGCAGATATTAATTCATCTGTCACGGCAATGAAGCTGCCTTAAACAAAAATATTCGCAACTATGCAGTGAAACAACCTTAGGAATTCAACATACCAAACTATCTAAAGAAGAAAAACAACACAAGCACACACAGACAATATATATATGCAGACAAACAGTTTTGCTAAGTAATGACAGATTTTCTTATGCATGATACTCACAAACAGGATACAGAACGGTTTAATTCCTGTTCCTGTTTCAGGTCATTAGGTTTAGAGCTTAAAAGCACTCCCAAGGGATACTAAAAGCCAACCTTTTGACTTGGTAGAAAATGAATCAATGTCAGTGGTTAGTCCAAAGCCTGAGCCACTTCCAAAACCAGATCCACTGCTAGATATGCTCAAATCATTAAAGCCACTTTCAATTCTTCCTGAGCCCATCGATTGCAAAGACATGAATCCACCTTTTTCACCTCTGTTCTTTTCAATCTGTAGAAAACATGCAATGAATTCAGATAAATGATGGACAGTTAAAGCCTTTAAAATGTGAGTGCATCAGCAAGAAAGGATCGCTCCACTCATACCTTGCTCTTATCAATCTCACTAGCTTTCCGCTTCATAACATCCTTGGTTTCATTTATCTTACTCTGCATAACAAGCTTGTGCAATTTCTCCTCGTGACTCTCCATTTCACAGTATTGCTTAACTTGTGATACAGTCACGTTTTCCTTGTGCCCGAGAGAGATGACCTCATCAAATGCAAAAATCAGCTCAAATGCATTCTTGCAGATGCCCTCTTCATCAAGGGAATAAGAATATTCAGGCACCTATCAGTATTAAGGATAGAACTACTTATACGCACATCATCAAAATTATCATGAAATGATTATACACCCATCTTATAAATGTTAAAGTAACTTCCTGTAGTAAATAAGTTGATCATTTTCAAACCCCCTTAAGCCTTCCTGTAAGAAACAATATTGCCAAATGCCTCCTTAGATCAGAAAACAATCATGCACTAAATGTCCACATCGACAAAACTCCACCAAGTAAATGCCAAAATGAAATGAAGTGTTCAGAAAAGAAAGAAAATAAATTATGGATTTTGGACGTAAAACCTACACCAAAGTTATGACAAGGTCAACAATGTCCTAATCAGAAGGGAAAAAGAAAATCAAATCATCAAAAGAAACAAGATTACAAGCATGACATGTCAAAATCAAAGCATT